AAATTCCCTAAGTGCTAGAATTACCTTTTTAAAGGGTGATGTAATTTATCTTATGTAATGAATTTTCGTTTCCAAGCCACATCAATTAGTGAATAGTTTCCTCAGTCCTTCAGAAGGTTCATTTAAGCGATCCGATCGTCAATTATTAGCTAACGTTAGGGCACTCTTCATGTTTGCTCAAGTGGTCCGATCTCAAATTATTAACAGGTTAGCATTAAGAGTCACTCCATACTCACTTAAGTGTTTAAACTTATATTAACTTGAGTGGTCGGGTCCACAGTTATTAACTGGTTATTGTCACGAGGCAATTAGTCTGACGTTTGCATTCATACAAATATAAACAGATAGAAAACATAAAAAAGCAGAAGCCCAAATACTTAGCAAAAATTTCATTTCATTGAATAAATTTAAGTACAAGGAGGCCGAAGCCATTACAAAAGGTAACCCTACTCTGCTGGAGGGACTTCTACATTGGCCGCCTCCTGGGCCTCCGGAGCCCCCTCGACGAGCTTATCAGGCCGACCTCCAGTTGGCCCCCCAAACTCTGCCTCCAATGAAGAGATGTCCAGAGTAGGGTGCACCTCCTTCAGTCGACCCAATAAGCTTTGGGCACTCCATGAGGCCCAGAAGTTGGCGAAGTCGTCATACAGAGGATGGTCTTCAAAGTGGTCTATGAAGTTCTGGACTGCCACCTCCCCCGCAGACTTCAACTCCTCCTTCAAAGAGGCAATCTCTTCTGACTGAGCCTCTGCCTTCTGCCTCAGCTCTGCCTTTTCTTTGTTGGAGGCCTCCAGAGCATTGGTGGCGAGCTTATGGTGCTCATTGGCGTGATCAAGCTGCTGAGTCACAGCAACCACTTGGCATTCCACCTTGTACAACTCCTTCTTCAGTCGTTCCACTTCTACTTTGGCGACAGTTAGCTGGGCCTCAGCCTCCTTCTTCCCCTCCTCTGCCTGCGTGGCTTTGGCCTGAGCCACTCATATGGCATCCTCGTAGTGCATCACCTCCTCGAGGCATTTGTCGAGGTCCTCCCTCTTAGAGTTCAAATCCTTCACCAAGCCCTCAAGTTGGATGCTTGTACTAAGGGCCCGAGCCACGTAGGCACTGTTCGCGGCCACCAAATCCTCAGCCGTACAGGAGGCGGTGTAGTCCTTCCACTCCTCTATCCAGTATTTATTGTGGACCACCGTCACCGCAGCTGTTTCTGGAGGAAGAGCCTCCAACCCTTCCCTCGCGGGCTCTTCAGAATTAGTGCCCAGAAAGTCGACCTCCTTAGAGGGACGGGGCATTTTCGTCTTCTGCTGCCCCGGTACTTGGTCAATTGGCACTGCAGCGAGGGGTGTTGTGGCCGGGGCAGTGGCAAGCTCAATTGGGCGGGCCTTCTCTCTGGGATGGCCACCCCGATGGGAATTGTGGTCTGCCTCAGAGCTGGGGGTGGCCTTGCCACAGTTGGGCGCCTTGGAGAGTCGGCACTCTTCTTGCCCTTCCTTCGAAGGTCAGCCTCCAGGTCCTCCGGTACCTCCTTTTTCGTCGGAGGCTGAAGCCCCTTACTGACTTCCACAAATCCTCCATTTGCTTTTTGTACGAAGAAGAGGAGGCCTTCAACGCCCGTGCCTCTGCCATCATCTTCTGGATGGTCTTGAAGTCGGGGCGCACCGAAAACTTCTTATTAAAGTTGTCTGCAAAGAGCAAACAAGGAATTAATACAAGTATTGGGAGTTCGGAATAAAAAGGCAAAGGCTTTGGTCTAGTTACCTTGGGATGCCATCAGATCGTGAGTAATGAAGTGGATGTTCTTTCGGATCAGCCTGTGGTAAGACCTCTTCTTTTGAGGCAGCTGATAAATGACACAGATGGTGTCAAAGTCCTCAGTTGACAGCTCGTACCGAGGAAGAGCGCCTATAAAGGAAATGTAACTGTTAGGCACGATTCGAACCGAAGAGAAATATAAGGAAAAACTACTACTATACTCACTAAGTGTTGAATACTTCGTCGGGACCGTAAAAGGCGCCAGGGGTCCCCCTCCATCGTGTCCCATCGCCCTGCGAGCCAGCACCATGAGCTCTTCCATTCTTTGATGGAGCTCCGCAGATCGACCACGAATGGAGTGTGGGAACCCCATGAAGTAAGGTAATACCATCCCTAGGTCTTATCCCCCCGGCAGTAACCTTAGGTATATAAAGGGTCTGGAAAACAGAGATGGGGCATCTCCACCCCTAATGACGCCTCTTTCCACAACATCCAGGAGCCTACCATTTGGTTCCAGGAGTTCGGATTGAGCTGCGTCAGGGCTAGCCCATAGGATCTAAGTACCATCCTAAAGAATGGGTGAACGGGCAGCCTAAGTCCGGCCCTAAGGATCGCCTCACTAATGGCCACACAGCCCGACCTAAGGTAGCAGGCTCTCTCTTCCAGCCAGGGGAGGATCAAATCTATGTTATCAGGGATCCTATACTCTGTCCTAAGTCTCCTCAGGTCGGCCTCTCTTAATTTGGATGGGTAATCCGATGCCCCCCAATGCACAGAAGTATCTGCTGGGCTATTCGGTCGCTTCCATATATTTTCCCCCCTATTATTGCCTCGGCTATTTCTGAGGAGGTCGCCACAATGGGCTCGTCTATCCTCACCAGTTCTAAACCCCTCCCCGAACCAAAACTCCCCTCTGAGACCATTCTTTCAAAATTTAAAAGCCCAAATAGGTACTGAAACTTACGTGTTTGGAGGTTTTCCTAGCCAGAAACGATGTAAGGTCGCCGGAAGTTTAATTTTCTCGCAGGAATTGCTTAGAGAAACGCCTCGAAACTTGCAACACCACATATTCCGACCCGATAAAGACCCGTCCGAAGTGTTTTCGAAGTGATATAGTGATTCCTACTACTGACTTGCCGAAGCACCTCGCCCCCCTCCCCCCGAGGTCAAGGCCAAGTGGACCCCGGTTAGAAGATCCGCCGTCAATTTCAGAAAGAGATTTGTGCCAAGATCCTTCCTGCACCTAAGGTTTAAATTGATTTGACGTCTTCATGAGGCTAGTTGATGTGACTTAACAACTTTATGTCAATTCAACTCAGAAGAAACAAACTGTCCGTCCACTCTACAGGCGCGGCTGATTGACGCCTATGAGCGGACGCCTCATACCGTCAGATGTATACAAGCGTCCCACATCCAACGGTTCATACCACCTATAAATACCCAAGGTTTGGCAAGAGGTAAAGGTAATGAAACTCTTACTACACAGCACTCCATAACAAGCTTATATATTTTCTCCTCCCCCTTTATCATTGATTTGCACAGCCCCTGGGTACTGTTCCGTCCACTTAAACCTGATTTCACCGTCGGAGTATATACAGCCGTCACCACCCCCGCTGGTTCCGGCCGTGTGCGTCTGACTATTCGTTGATTGTGCGCAGGGAGGAATACGTGGAGTAGCTTTCAGTTGGCCACGTGGATGGACCAATTTTCGAGGTCAACAGTGGCCATTGGAAACCAGGAATTATGGTGCGGAAGCTGTTTTGGTAGGATTGAAGTAAGCGTGAGCCTTTTGGCTCTGATGCCAAATTAAAAATAACAAAACTGTAGAAGAGCAGTAATGTATAAGATGAAGGGAAGGGCCAACTTACATCTTCTGTGTATTACAATGGCTTAAAATAACAAAGTTCATTATACGAAATATGGAATGCACTAAAGTTCTGGAATGTACAATTGTCAGGATTGATAGAACGAAGGAAAAATCAATGGAATGCTGAGATCACGTTGGAGGTAATCGTGGAGTCATTACTGATACGGAAGAACCAGTATTACATGGAGGAGATTGATGAGTGTTGAGTGGATGAGATTGAGAATTGTGATTGCTTGGTCTAATAATTTGTCCCTGAGAAAACTATTTACTTAATACACAAGCAAATACGCATAAACATCAACTCATTAGAAAACTTTTCATATATTCCTCAAATATTGAAACTAACTTCTGATATATTCCTCAAATATTGAAACTGTTAAAAAATTTATAAAAAGTACAGAAGTAATACTACCAAAACCAACTGTTTCTAAATCTAAGGGTAATCCACACGTTAATATTCTCAATCTCTTGTAAAATACAAACCTGGCATCAAATAAGATTCTCTTTCCAACCGCACTCAATACACTTTACTATCCTTTTTGTGACGAACTTGAGAATTGAAGCATGTGCAATAATGGCCTACCTTGTCCTTTCATGTTTGAAGAGGCTCCGATATTGTGCGTCTAATGCGCGCATTTCATACGAGCATGTAACATATTCTTGGATTTATATTATAGAAAATTAGTGTATTTGGGAGTCCCTCATGATTAAATAAACCAAGATTTTACCATGAGTGATATGACTGGGAGGGGGATCTATTGACATGCAGGATCTTAATGAGATTCAGAGGTGAACAAATGCATTCATGCTTTAGGGGTTAAATTTTGCAAATACGTTAAAAAACCTATATTCGTAATAAGAAATCTATGAGCAATATGGGAACATCCTCTTGAGTTGTTTTTGTTACTTGGAATGAATCTGAAATCAACAATGTAGTCAAGAATGTCTTTTTTTTTTTTTTTTTTTTTTTTTTCTTTTTTGTGGGTTGGGGTGGGGTGGTGTTGGGTGGTCAAATGACCCAATGCACTATATCACTGTGGTTAGCACCAATACACACTGGAGATTCAGCTGTCACCTTCTCAAACTAGACATCCCAAGTAACCTTAGCAAATACTACCAACGTAGATATACTTTCTACGTAGCTATATAAATAGCAGACCAAACATACACTACACTAATATATGTGAAAAATATCCACTCACACAAAACAAAATTCATACAAACATTTCCGCTCTCTAAAGTCTTTACCAAAACCCACCAAATCTTTTCCCTCATATTCATCATTTTCAAATCTAGAAGATTATGGGCCAGAGTCTATTAGAAGCCTTGAACGTGCATTTCTACGTAGCTATATAAATAGCAGACCAAACATACACTACACTAATATATGTGAAAAATATCCACTCACACAAAACAAAATTCATACAAACATTTCCGCTCTCTAAAGTCTTTACCGAAACCCACCAAATCTTTTCCCTCATATTCATCATTTTCAAATCTAGAAGATTATGGGCCAGAGTCTATTAGAAGCCTTGAACGTGCAAGTGGAGGGCTCTGGCAAGAAAATCCTTGTCCTAGCTCATGGCTTCGGCACGGATCAGTCCGCATGGAAGCACATTCTACCATTTTTCTTGCGTGATTATCGGGTTGTCCTCTATGACCTTGTGTGTGCGGGCAGTGTTAACCCTGATAGCTTCAATTTTCGTCGTTACACCACTCTCGATGCCTATGTTGATGACCTTCTGCATATCCTCGATGCTCTTGGTGTCGAGCGCTGTGCTTATGTTGGTCACTCTGTCTCTGCCATGATCGGAATTTTGGCCTCTATTCGGCGACCAGAGCTCTTCACCAAACTCATCCTCATAGGTGCTTCTCCGAGGTAATTTATCCAATAATTTTGCTGCATCTTGAAATACTTGGACAGACAAAAGTAACAATTTTACTTTGTGTTTAGACCAGCCCAGAAATGGGAATCTTTGTGCCTTTTGTTGTGTGCTTATGTTGGTCACTCTGTCTCTGCCATGATCGGAATTTTGGCCTCTATTCGGCGACCAGAGCTCTTCACCAAACTCATCCTCATAGGTGCTTCTCCGAGGTAATTTATCCAATAATTTTGCTGCATCTTGAAATACTTGGACAGACAAAAGTAACAAATTTTACTTTGTGTTTAGACCAGCCCAGAAATGGGAATCTTTGTGCCTTTTGTTTTTCAAAGTGCCAATAAAGTGGAAAGCATCTTGTCAATATATTTAATGAGTATTCACTAAAGTTCATTGATTTGCTTAAAAACTACTCAAAGTTATGTTTTAATCGAAACTATTCTAGTGATTATTCGCATTTGAGATATTCAAGAAATTGCTCGATTTTTTAGCAAAACAACACTCCTATATCTGATCCATTTGACGTATCTTATTCTCAATCATCCGATCGCACAAATGAGTTTCTTTTTTTAACGAAGATTACTAATCAATATTGAAAATTTATTTTCAGATTCTTGAATGATAGAGACTACCATGGTGGCATCGAAGAAGGAGAAATTGAGAGTGTGTTCTCGGCGATGGAGGCAAATTATGACGCATGGGTAAATGGGTTCGCTCCGCTAGCGGTGGGAGCCGACGTGCCGGCGGCAGTGAGGGAATTTAGTCGGACGTTATTTAACATGAGGCCAGACATAACACTTTATGTATCAAGAGTTGTTTTTAATAGTGATTTAAGGGGTGTATTAGGCCTAGTCAAGGTGCCATGTTCCATAATTCAAACAGCTAGGGATGTGTCGGTGCCTATGTCAGTTGCGACTTATCTGAAGAACCACCTCGGAGGGCGGAGCACGGTGCATATTTTGGATGTTGAGGGCCATTTGCCCCACCTTAGTGCCCCTAATTTATTGGCGGAAGAGATCCGGCTAGCTTTATCCAGGTGAAGAAGTGTGTCTATATCATGTGTTTGAGACGAGAAATGGCCCAGTACGTGTGGTACTGCTAAAGTTATGTGGGTCAATCAGAACCGTTGAAACACATGGGAATAAGATAGGGCAGATGTTGACACGTTGCCAATAAATTGTGGACGAGAGTCTAATGCGATTATTAGGTATCTCTTTTAGAAGAGGATAAGAATTTGCCTGACTTTTTCCCATTTTCGTTTGGTTTTGTTTCGTTTGTCAAATCTCTTTTGCTTTTACTCTTTTTGGATTTCTCTTTGTTTTCTTCTAAGCATGTAATATCTTATGTGCTTTATAAAAGAATGGAAATGGTGCCCCTAGTGTGTATATATTTTATAGTATTGGAAATATTATTTTCTATTCTTTTAAAAATATTTGTAATGTTTGACTTTAGGGTCAATTTACATTTTTTGGGTAATATTTTATATTATTTGTTTTTTCAAATAGGTGAAGTTTAACTTAGTTCTCGTTTGATTCCCATTTTTTCAGCCATAAAAATGAAAAATATGATCGTTATCCATCACATTAATTAACCATATTTAATTTTGTATCTCTTGTATGTGTCCCAGTATAATTATATTTTTCATTCTCATTTTTAAAAAAATGGCTATGAAACAGGACCTTCAAATGATTTAGGGGATAAGCCTAACTTATTATGCATAAGTGATAAATGCATCTTTTATATAAAAAGACAAAAAAATACAATTTCTAAAGTTTATATATACTAAAAGGCTAAATGTATTCATACAACAATTTTTAATAATTAATTAGAATACATTTTAATTGTATGAAAGGTCCAAAACTTTTACAAATTATAATATTCATGTCTCAAACATTTTTTCGTTACATTCTTATTCTCCTGAACTCGAAATTTTTCTTCAATTTCTTTTATAATTGACGTGTTAAATTATTGTATAAAATAATTGTAAAACTAATATGCTGTGGTTTTTTTTTATATCAATAAACATGTTTTGGCTTTATTTAAAGGGATGTAGAATAAAGACTTATTTTTTCTTTATATTTTAAATAAGCAAAACAAATAATAATATGAAAATCATATTAATATTTGATCCTCATTTTAAAGTATGTTAACAATATTTTTGAACAAAAATATGATTAAGGACAAAATTTTCTGATCAATAAAAAGTTAAAAATAAGAATGTGAAGAAAAAACTTGAAAGATATAAGTGTTATAATGAATGAAGGTTAATGACCTCTAATGTAATTAAAATATGGTATATTTATATTTTTTTTTAAAAATGTGGTGTGTATATAACCACTTTTACTAATATAAGCCAAGGATAATATGACATTAAAATCCAATTAAAAAAGAAAAATAACTCATCCCAATTCAAATTTAAAACTGATGACCCTTTCATTTTTCGTCTTCTTCATCACTAAAACGTCAAAAACTTATTCAAAAACATAACACAAAGATATCGTGAATATTCATTAGAAGCTAATACATTATTATGAATCAATAAGTACATTTGCACTTTTATGTATACTTAATTTCAGTTTCATTAGTTTAGTTTACTTTTTTAATTGTTAAATTTTATTTCGACTTATTTTAACATCTCTAGATATATTTTTATGTATTATTGAACAAATTTATAAAAATTTTAAGCAAAAATTTTGAATTAAAATTCAAATATGAAATCGATGTTGGGAATTTACTTAATCATACACAGCAAAAAATAAAATAAATTTCTGCCAAAGATCTTCTTTGTGTTTAGAGAGAAATTGTGATAAAGAATTATACATATGATGAATTCCTTCAAGGATTATCTACAACTTGAAAGCCGAAAATAGGAAGTCAAGAAGGAAAGAGAACATCTATGATCTACAATTCACAGGTATCCAGTTGTTCAGGCTCCAATAAAAATCCACACAAGAATAAGATTGAAAGAACTAGAGTTTTCTTTTCTTGTGCTAGCAAGAATATGAATTGTGTTTTCATATAAATTTTCAAACCCTTAATAGCCTATTAATATAAGTTCAAGTAGGCTTGGCCCGTCTCTTAAATTTAACCCGATCCAATATTTAATTAATCCAATTGATTAATTTTGTCCACGAATTAATTAATCTAATTAATGAATTCGGACATATTAACAAGCAACCTAATTATTTAGTTGTCCAACACTTGTCAATTAATTAATTGATAAATCTCAATCTTCTAGTTTTCCTCTTGTGTATGGCTCATCAAGTTTCCAATCACAATATCGAACGATGTGAACTATTATTTTGATCTAAACAAAATCGATAAATTAAAATACACCTTTTTAATTTATCAATAATTTACATCCGTCGTCCCTAATTGATATCTAACAATATATCAAAACAATATATGTGACGAAAATGTAACGTGGTATGATAAAACTAAACTTTTTCGTTTACCGTGAAACTATTATCTTTCCGTCAATATGATCCAATCAATTACGAGATATTAATGTGTGTCAATCTCAACTATTGATCATATCTTTCATATACTTTAAGTTAATGTAAGTCGAAAACTCTTTTTCGATCTATGAGTACGTCTTGGCCAATGATCTCATTATCAACTTAACTGAATGAAATATAGATCATAATCTCTTACTATCTAAGAGTGACAAATTCTCTATTGATCATTCACAACCTTCATATAATTCTTCACATACCCGAATGAGGTCGTCGAACAACCATTAGCTGAACAACATCCAATATCACCAAAGTATAATTGTTCTCATATAAGGCACTATGATAACCTCGTGTCGAAGAACCAATTTATAGATTAACCATTGACATTCAGATAGTTATCCATGTGGAATCTATCCATTAGGTTTTCAAATTTTGTTCTATAATAAAATATCTACGTAACTTGTGAGATTAGCTACTTACTTTATAAATATGAAATGACATACATAATGGCATATTCGTAACAATGATATTCGTATCTCCTTATTACTTGCGACCACAAATGATTTAAGATTCAGTAATATATAATTTGTATCTTGTAAATATAACTTTTTGTGATTAACATATTACTGAGACTTGAATCTACTGATTCTATTGTTTAATTTATTAATATAATAAATTAAATAATAGACTTGTAATAAATGAAATGCATCAATTATGTATTAAAATTGTTTATGTCCAAAGTTAATTCGACTTAGGGCATAAAACTTATAAACTCCACTTGTGCTAGATAAAATCACTTGTGTATATAATTGTCATAAAAATCTACCTAACAATCATGTTTAGGATGTGACAACTCTTTGTCAATGGATTTGCAATATTATCAATTGTGAGAATTCGTTCTTTCTTTATGTCATTTCTTTGTATTATTTCTTTAATGAAATGATATTGCCTTAATACATGTTTAGATTATTGATGAAATCTTAGTTCCTTAACCTGCACAATTACTCAATTTTATCACAATACAAAGGTGAGTGATCAATAATGTTAAGAATTACTCCAAATTCATTAATGAACTTCATAATCCATAGTGCAACTCTTTGCTACTTCTAAAACAATAGTGTATTAGATTTTTGTTATTGAATTAAAAGTTGTTTAATGTTTGAGACATTTCCAACTAACCACTCAATTATTACGAGTAAACCATATCTTGATTAAAATTTGCTATCATTCTAATCTGAGTAAAAGTTAGTATCAGCATATTTATGAACTCTCAGTTCATTTTTTCTATATAAATTATTCTCAAGATTTTATATCTATCTCTATAGATCAAGTTGTTCTTCCCGTATCCTTAATGAAGATATCCTTTAACAATTACAATTTCAACGATTGAAATATAGAGACGTCATATCCTATTAATAGTATGTCATCTACATATTATATTAGGAATACGACGATGCTCCTATTATCTTCTTGTAAACACACAATTGATCTTCATTTTTAATATCGAACCTTCTAATTGTCTCATCACAGCTTCTAGATGTTTGCTTTAATTCTTAAGTGGATCGATCAAGCTTGCATACCTTGTTAGATTCCTTGAATTCAAAACCTTCGGGTTATGTCCTGTACACTTCCTCTCGAAAGTTCCTGTTAAAGAATGTAGTTTTAACATCGTTTTGCTATAATTCATAGTCATGGTATGTAACTATTACAAGCAAATCTCAAATAGACTTTATCATGGCTATAGGCTAGAAGATTTCATCAAAGTCAATTCCTTACCTTTGTTTATAATCTTTTTACTGCTAATGTTTCTCTTGTATGTATGGATATTTCCATCCATGTGTTCGATTAGTAATTTTGGATTAGTAATCATAGCTTCATACCTTCTAGGAGGTTGAATGATCCTACAAGATTATTTGGAGCTTACGTATCTTTAGAAGTCTCTACTACCTGAGCAAGATCATGTCTCTCAGCAAGTGTGGGATCGAACTTAGGTTCATCTACTTGGTTAACTATATCTGTAGATTCTTGAACTCCTTCATGATTTATTCTGTTCTATCCTCTTTTAGAATAAATTCTTTCTCTAGGAATATGACATGTTTTACGAAGGATACCTTCTTCTCAATTGGAAATTGGATTATAGGTTTTATTTCCAATTGCTTCTTTTGGATATCCCATGAATATGCGCTTTTCGAATTTAGCTTCAAGTTTGTCTTATTAGTGCACTTCACATAAGCGCTCCCAACCTTTAATATGGGACAACTTAGATCTTCTTCCTTTCCATAACTCGTATGAAGTTGTATCGACAACTTAGATGAGATAAGATTTACTATATAACACATGGCAATCAATGCATTATCCCAAAATGATTTTGGGAGGTTTGCATGGCTAGTTATTTATCCCACTATATCTTATAATCTACGATTCCTCTTTTCATATACACCTTTATGTTTTGGAGTATGTAGTGGATTCAACTACGAGAGGAGCTCATTCTCTTATAGATAATCTAAAATTCTCACTTTTAAATACTTTCCACCTCAATCAGGTCTTAATGTGATAATACATTTACCTACTTATTTCTCTATTTCTAACTTGAATCCTTTCAGCTTTTCAAGAGTTCTATGCTTGAGTTTCATCAAATATATATCACTATTTTAGTAAATATGATGAAATAATAGAGACCTCATCTAGCATTAATTGACATGGGTCCACATACATCATTGTGTATTAGACCCAGTAACTGTGCAAATTTTTCACCTTTTCAAGTAAAAAGGGATTTGATCATCATGCTTAGATTCAAAATCATTTGACCCAAGTATACATCTCTATGTAATTTTGAATTACATTTTCATTTATGTGACATAGTCTGTAATGCCGGACATATGTGTTATTCAAATTATCATTTTTATGCTTTTCAAATTCTAT